TGATGATGGGCATGCTATGACGGGAACTAAGATGATTCCTTTGAACATGATGCCTCAGAGAACACATGAACAAACATCTGGGAAGTAAAATTTGAGCTTGTTTGGATACAGCTCACTGGCACTTCTGAGAACTTATCTACTAGCTTGAGTCCTACAATCCAAAAGTAATGTTTGGATAAATTATTAAAACAACTTTTAACTTCTATACAAGCTCTCAAAAGAGGTGAAAGCTATTCAGAGACTGCTTTTAAATTTTTACTTTTCACCTTTCGGGAAGCTTTCCCCAAAAATTGAACTGGACAAAAATTCCCCATTCAAAATTTCAATCCATATCCATTTTGAAAATTTCAGAACCCTCAATCTCGGGAGCTCCATGGCTGACGGTGAACACCATTCTCCTACTCTGTCACTGTTTTCTGTTCTTCGTCACTGTTTGCCATTCACCGTCATCATTCGCTAATGTTCGCCGTTAACTATTGCCGTTTGTCAGTTCTGTTTGCCATTGCTGTTCTTGCCATATTCTAGATATTTTCTCCCTGGAATTCTTCCTCTTTGCTCACATGAAAGCTTCTTTTTTTAGTCGAATGTTACTATTTTTCCTTATATTATGATGGTTTGTGTTTATGTTGTGTTTCCATGAACAGTTTTGTTTTCAACAAATCCAGAAATTATGTTCCTTATTTCAGAAAAAGGTGTTTCCATGGGGCCTTGGAGTGGATCTCATTATCAACCTTAAAAGGTGTTTTCAGCAATTTCCTAAAGGGGTATTTGAGAAGGGAGATTTTGGAGGGACGGAAAGGAGAGGGCAAATTGTCTATTTTAAATAAATATATTTTAAATTAATAATTTTTTAAAATAAAAGATATAAAATAATATATTAACATAAATTTAATGTATTAATTATATCTTTTTCATTATAAATGTATTAATTATGCTCAATGGGAACCTAGGATGTTCAGGCTTTGGTGGGCTTATCCTAGATGCTAATGGAAAATGGCTTAAAAGGTTTTTATGGAAGCTTGGGTGTTACTAATAACATAGAAGCTGAACTTTTTGCTATTTATCATGGTCTTCATTTAGCTTGGTTGAGTAACTTCAGAAAACTTTTGTGCCATTGAAAGTGTCTTCAAGTTGTCAAGTTGGTGAATTTTGGATCCTCTAATTCCATACTTACCGTGGCTTAATTTCTTCTACAGAGACTCCTCTTGCTTCCCAATGGGATGCAAAACTGATTCAGGTTCTTTGGTAAGCGAACATGTGTGTTGATTTCTTAGCTTAAAAAGGAGCTTTACCAGATCATAAATTAGTTATTTTAGAAGAGTCTTTTCTTGATTTATCCATCTTGTTATTTGCAGATGAATCAGGAACTTCTCATTTTAGGTCGTAGCTGTCTTTCTTTTCCTTGTAACAAAAAAGCAAAATAGATGTACAAAGCAATAACTTTAGCAAAGTAAAGATGGGTAATAATATGAATGCACACATTGTAGGAGTTGGTGATGTATGCGTTCAAATTAATGTGGTTTGCACGCTGACATTGAAGGATGCACATGTGCGGCTTTTTTTTCTTTTTGTCAAAATAAGGTTAAATTAAAAATAAATTATTATAATAAGGTATTTACAAAACATTTTTTTTTTCTGTTTGGAGTATTTTTTGTTACATTGATTTGAGTGTTGGTCTTTATAAGATTGACAATTATTTTTTAATAATAAAAAATAAATATCGTCCATATAGTAATGGCTGACATTTATTTTCTTATTATTAAAAATATAAAATGGATGGATAAGCGGGTGTAAAGTTATGGTTTTATATACATATCCTCTTGAATTTCTCAAGACTCGACTATCTATTTAGGTACGTACATTAAAAATGTAAACAACTTTGCTTTTCTTTATTCATGTTTTTGCAGAGAAGTAGTCTTATTGTAGTTATTCCATATTCTGCTACCAATTATTTTGCCTATGACAGTTTACGGAAAACATACTGAAAAATTTTTAGACGAGAAGATTGGCAACATTGAAATCCTTTTGATTGGTTCAGCAGCTGTTGTTAATTTCTAGCAGTGCAATTTTTTCACATTCTTACAGCTGCTATGGCAAGTACCTGGGATTTTGTCATTTTTTTTATTATTATTAAAGAATAAGTATTGGCCTTTATATGGACGACACTCCAAAGAAACGTGACAAAAAAATCTTAGATAGAGAAAATATTTTGTAAATGCTATATTTTAATAATTTATTTTTAATTTAAACTTATTTTAGCAAAAAAAAGCCTACATGGGCTAAATTTGCATCTAAATCTTTTTTTTTTGGTGCATTCTTTAGATATAGATGGATATCACTAGTTTGGTAATAAAAAATGGAATCTTACCAAATGATCATTCATGTATGTTAGAAGCAATATATTTGACACTTAACAAAACTCAAATCAAGCTATTTAGAGATGGATTGAATGCAATCAAGGATAACGTTTCACCAAAATTGTGGCACCACAGACTGACTCATTTAAGTGAAAGGAAAGATTACAAATTTTAGCCAGAATGCCCTTCATTCCATCTACTCAAAAGTACAAAATGAATCCTTGTGATAACTGTATGTTAGCAAGCATGATATCTTTTAGTAAAACTTCAAAGTTGTAAGTGAATATTTTATATATGATTTACTTTAATCTCTGTTGACCCATGAAAATGGATACTTTGGGTGATACTAGATATTGTGTGACATTAACAAACAATGCATTAGAAAACTTGTGGGCTTACTTAATGAATAAAGGGTCAAGTTTTTCAATACTTTATAAGGTTTCATGCTATGGTGGAGAAGGAAGTTTAACCTATAGTTTTTTCGTACTAATAATGGAGATGAAAATATTTCCTACGAATTTAATTATTATGTTTTAAGCATAATATTTCCTACAAATTTAAGAATTATGTTTTGAGCATAACATCATATATGAAAAGACAATACATGGCACCCCACAATATAATGGTGTGGTAAAAAAATTCAATAAAATCATTATGAAGAAAGTTTGATTTATGTTGAGAATATCTAAGCTACCTATGTTATTTTAGGGTGAAACTATTAAACTCTGTTATTTTATTAATTTTTCATATATTTCTTTGGGCTTTAGGCTTTAGCATTCCTAGGAGAGTATGGTTCAAACATGATATTATTTACTCTTATTTAAAAAATTTTGGATGTAGCTCTTGTTCATATAAGTAAGGAGAAAAGACAAAAACTTGATGATAAAGTCATTCTTTCTATATTTTTGGGCTATGGGATTAAGGAATTTGCCTAGAGGTTATGTGAGATGTAGTGTTTCATGAGCAAGAAATTATGTCAAATTCTTCCATAGTAAAACTAATGAATTAGGGCTAATTTTATAATAATAAGTCTATATTTTAATATATTTTTACAATTTACATCTTTATATGTGTTTATTATTTTATTAAATTTTTACACTAATTTTTTTTATTAATTATGCATATTAACATAAAAATGTCACAATTTTGCTTTTCATGCATTTCAAGCCCAAATTAGATGGAAAATAGAGTTTTGCTGTAGCTAACACATCCATATTTTGGCAGTCAGCACAAAAGTGTTTCGACCATATGTACGATCATACTTACCTATGAGAAGTCCAACTTTGAAGAAATATTATAGTTTTGAACTCTATTAAAGAAACCTCATAGGTAATGATTTAGGCATCTTTGACATCTTCAATCATGGTTTTGCCTAATCGTTAATGACTATTAGAGCTTTGGAATCACGTCTTGAAATCAATAACTTTCTACATCTCTTCTTCATTAAATACTTCTTTATTTGCATCAACTTTTTGAATAATTATGGAATATTTTATTATTGTTTTGATTTTTCATTATATTATGTCTAATTAAATCTGTAGTTAGGACTATAGTAAATCTTTGCATGACTTTATAGAATCTTTGTAATTAATGATAATTTTTTATTTTTTTTCTTGATTAATTGTTATCCTATTACGTTATATTTTTATATTCGAAATTAACAACTCTTAAATATAATATAATTAATTATATTAGAAGTGACTGTACCATATATATTTAATGAGTCTATAAGGTAAAATGAGATAAATAATTACATAAACTAAACTTAATTTTTCTCTTTTAATTATTATTAAATTAATAGTTCATAGACTTTTTATACTTTCTCTTTTTTTTATCTTGTATGGCTATTAAAAATAATAGTTTTAAAAAAAATTATTTATAAATATTAATTTTAAAAAATAAAAATAAAAAATAAATTATTTGATATGCACTTAGATAATGACTAAGTTTCAAAATAATTATGTAGAGTACTAAGTTAGTTTTTTATCAGCTAACTTATCATTTAACAAAAAAAAAATTAAAAGCAGAAACTAAATCTGAATTTTTTAATTTTATAGAAACTAAATCTTAACAAAAAAAAAATTACATCGACTTATCACAAAATAATTAATATTTATAGGAATAAAAAATATAATTAAGCTTGTAATAAAATCGTATAACTTTAAAGTACGTGTCAATTGCTGGTCGAGTTTATATCAAATGGTTATTTACTTTCTTTCTCGTGCATTCGCATTAGAACTGTTTCTAGTTAATAACCATACCAAATTGCATCGTGGAAAAAGCATTACAGTAAAATAAGATTTGCCAAGGTTCCGACGTGCACCTCAAGTTCTCAAGTAAAAATTGGTACAACTTCTATTCAATGTAGAAATTGGTATAGTTGACTATGTTACGTAAAAAATAATTTTAAAATATTTAACTTGATATATGAAAATAGTCGATAACAATAAAAGATACATTCGAGCTTTTAATTATTATACATTGCTGACATAGTCTACTAAAATTGTAATTGTCAATTATTTTAAAAAATATTAAGCAGAACCTTGAGGATAAGGGACAGCAACAGAGGTTGTTTTATTACAGCACGTCTCTTAAAGAGCAAGCAAAGTCCGAGATTAAACAACCGCATTTTATTTACCTTCGTGTTTTTATAGCAGTCGGTGTATGTAACCCGAGACATTAAAATATTGTCTTCTGCTATGTCACCAGTACCTCTTATTATATAATATTCCAATTTCAGTGTGAGGATGCTAAGTGGCAACAGGACGATGGCGATGGCGATGACGATGAGACGACGGGAATGGTTGATTATGACAGTGTTATCGGTGTTCCTCTTTCTTTCTTTTCCAACGGTCTGTTACGGAGTTGTTCCACCTCGTACTTTGCTCAATAAGCTCTCTGAAGGAAAATACCTCACCAGCCAGGCGCTCTGGTTCAATCAAACCCTCGATCACTTCTCTCCCTATGTACCTTTTTATCTCTGTTTATAAATGCAAAATATTCTCCTTTTTTATTTATTTGTTTTTGGATTTTGGTAATTTTTTTAACATGTTTTAATAAATCAAAATTTGAGTTGTTTTTAAAAGAAGGAAAAAGAAAAAGGAAACTGCAATTGTGTCCTATGATTGTACATTTATCAAATTCTGATGGCGTTGATTGTGAGTATTTGGTTATTGCATTGCAGGATCACCGTCAATTCCAGCAACGTTACTACGAGTTCCTTGACTATTTTCGGATCCCAGATGGACCCATTTTTTTGGTAATTGGCGGTGAAGGTACAAACTATGGGATAGTAAATGACTATATTGGTGTAAGTGGCAATTCTTCGCACAAATTTAAATTCATGTCTTTTGTTGGTTAATATGTCTGCATTTATGACTCAATACCAAAGATTTCAGTTTGGAAGGATCATAAGTTTTGGCACAAGCACCACAAGTCCTATCTATTTTTGTCATCATTGTTATTAGAATCTTGTAACTCATTGTTTTTCAGTTTTTTTTACCTAAACTTTTATAAGTTTAAATGGCTAAACGAAAGGGAACTGAACACACCCTAATTGACTATTCAAATTCTTTATTCCATTCTTTTAGAACAGGGATTTCCCACCATCACTCACTTATTTGATGCACTGTGTTCGACAATTTCGTTCTTCCATTTTAAGTTTTCTAAAATAAAGGCTTCACGTACTCAGTTATGGCTTATAGTTTTCTTTCGTGAGACTTATAGCCATTTTCTAGTTTAAAATTATTATAATTACTATACATATTTTATATGCTAAATTTGAAATTGTTTTATGTCGTGTCTTTGAATCTTATTATTCAATATGATTCACAATTTAAAATTGCTTTTACGATTCGTGATTTGAATTGTGATTTTATAACTTCTATTGTGAACTGTTTTGACAGAAAAGGATCTTTCATGTATGTGACATGTTGTGTTCAAATTTTGTGTGTATCTCGCTCCTACTAAATGTCAATCGCTCTAAATTAGAACATGAGCTTGTCAGGTTAAAATTTAATGTCATGTTCAAATTTAATATGACTATGAGAGTATCTATTTCGCCGACAAGGTTGACTTTTCTTATCATTCCAATAAAAGAATGACGTGGCTTTTGTGAAGTAAACATGGTAACTAGTAATATGAACAATTCTTCATGACTTGTTGCCTTGTTTTATCTATAGGTACTGGCGAAGAAGTTTGGGGCAGCTTTGGTTTCTCTTGAACATCGGTATTATGGAAAGAGTACCCCATTCAATTCTTTGGAGACTAAAAATTTGAAATATCTTTCATCCAAGCAGGCACTCTTTGATTTGGCTGTTTTTCGTCAGTATTATCAGGCAAGTTACATTGTTTTGCTGTCATGATTAAAACAACTTGGTATAAATAGAGTCAGTAAAATCTTAACTTAAAAATTTTGAATGACCAAAATTGTAAGATAGTTTGTTGTTTCAAGTTCTTTTAGATGACTAAAGAAGCGTACATAATGCAAGGTATAGGCCTTTGTCTGTGTATAAGTTGCTCAGATACAATTTGCAAAAACCTGTAAGTGTTTACTAAGAGGGATTTGTGGTTATGAATCACATTCAGATATTGATTAAGGGTCAGCAATGGTCAGTGGCATGAGATATTTGTCATATGATGTTTACTGTTACTCAATTTACCTATCTTATGTTTATTTGAAACAAGTTAAATTGCATTACATGCAGTATAAGAAAGATATCTTAGTGAATCCTAAATTGTTATCAAAGAAGAAACAAAATCAATTGGAATTGTAAGAACAAGGGATCAGATTGCTTCTCAGCAAAATTATTGCTTGTATGCTGGGGGTTGTTGGTACATGTATAATGGTCACATATTCATGCACTAGTTTCTAGTTCTACAGTTTCCTGCATGCATGTTTGGTTATATCTTATGAATCTATGGTAAATCATCAAGCAATTTCTTTGTTTTAATAGTTTTTCAATACTTTCTTCTGTCAATTTATCATATTTCCATCTTACGTTTGTATTTTTCATGTCACCTCTGGGTTTTTTATGGCATAAGTCAAATTTTAAATAATCCATTGATGTATATGGTGTTCATTAGATTGTTGCCTGTTATATTTGATTTCTTGCTGTCATTTTCGTGTAGGATTCCTTAAATGTAAAGCTTAATAGAACAAAAACTGAAAACTCCTGGTTCTTTTTTGGTGGCTCATATTCTGGAGCACTCAGTGCATGGTTCCGTCTTAAGTTTCCCCATTTAACATGTGGAAGTTTGGCAAGTTCTGCAGTTGTTCTTGCTGTTTATGACTTTACAGAATTTGATCAGCAGGTGAATTTTTCATCCCCGTCCTTTTTTTATTGTAAATGCTGTAAATTGTTCAAAGTTCTCTTATTTTATTTCATTCAAATGTTGAGTTCTGAGTTCTATCTTTCATGTGCAGGTTGGTGAGTCAGCAGGTCCTGAATGTAAAGCAGTGTTACAAGAAACTACTCAACTCATCGAACAGAAACTTGCAACCAATGGAAAGGCATTGAAAGCATCTTTTAATGCAGATGATGTATTCTCTGTTCCCTTACTACTCTTTTCTTGCTAAAGTACATTATAATCTAGTTTGATTGTCATGTTTACCTTTTCACTATTTTGCAGCTTGAAATAGATGGAGACTTTATGTATCTTGTTGCTGATGCTGCTGCTGTAGCAGTAAGTGATATGACTAGTAGTTGTTCATATTCATTGCAATATCTTGTATTCAAATACACTATGTTGTCTCTCTTTTCTGGATCTTTGGATGCTACAGTTTCAATATGGAAATCCAGATAAAGTTTGCAAGCCTATGGTTGAAGCAAAAAAGGCTGGAGAGGACTTGGTGGTATGTTTTTCAATCTAGGTCCTTTTTTCCTGAATACTGTAAAACTCCTCAATGGAGCTTCTTTCTTCTTCTTTTGTGTGTGTGTGTTTGTGTGTATTGGTCTCCATTTGCAAGTGAATATTTATGTTTTATGTTTTTCTTTTTTCCTTCTGTCACACTAAAGTATAGTTTACAGTCTATAAAATTCTTAATCATATAAGATTCTGTGTCTGGATTTGTTCTATCCCTCACATTGCATTAAGGTGGGGCATAAAGTCTCAATTTTTAATATATGATATACTATGATGATATGCATGGTTCCTGGTTTATGCTGATTTATGACCCTTGTGGCTGAAATATATACAAACAACATATCTACTTTACTAGTTTCTCCAACTCCAACTACTGTGTACTATTTGTGCTAGCTCATAACCACAACCTTTATTCTATTTTACAGTTATTTGTCAAAGGGCTTACCTTGGCATAATAGTAAGGTTGTTGCCTTGTGACCTTAAGGTCGTAGGTTGGTTGATTAGGTTCAAATCATAGAAATAGTCTCTTTGCTTGTGGGGGTAAGGTTGTGAACATCTACACTCCCCAGATTGCACCCGGTGGAAGTTTTGTTCACTAGGTCACCCTTTTAGATTCATTCGTCAAGATGTATCTCCCCTCCTTGCTCTCTCTATCTCTCTATCTTCTCCTGGAGATAGTTTCTTTCTGGTTTAATACATCTGATTGAATTTACGTAATTCAACTTGCAGGATACTTATGCCAAATATGTCAAAGAATACTACATTGGAACTTTTGGTGTTAACGTACAAACTTATGACCAAAAGTACTTGAAAAAAACTGCTATTAACGAAGACAGTTCTGCTCGATTGTGGTGGTTTCAAGTGTGCACTGAAGTTGCATACTTTCAGGTGGCTCCCTCAAATGATAGTATACGCTCCTCAAAAGTTGACACAAAGCAAGTTCCTCATCCTTGCAGTTCACTTTATATACTCAATTGACAGGATTTTTTCCTCTTTCTTATGTACTGATACACCATATTATAAGTATTTGTGGTTATTGATTTCTTCTTTTCTTTATGATGTTAATCTGTTCAAATTGGTTTCTCATACATTGCAGGTACCATTTGGATCTTTGCAAAAATGTCTTTGAAACGGGCATCTTTCCTGATGTTGATGCAACTAATATATACTATGGCGGCACAAAAATTGCTGGTCTAGAATCTTACCTATGCCTGAATTTTTTGCTACTCTTTTTTTTCCTTCATTTAAATAATGCATGCAAAAATTTATAAATGATATGCTTACATGACTCCTTTTACTTTTCCATTATACATTCATTATTTTTCTTTTGTTTTATGATTTATGTTCATGCCTTGGTGATTGTTATGTTGAACCCAAACTTAAAAATTCAATTTTATGTTTACATTCTTTTATAAAACAAATTCTTCAGCATAAAACTTCCTCATGGCATCATAAGTCTGGACGCTACATATTATACATTCTTTTATTGTTTTATTCTGAATATACTATTATGCAATCATCTTGAATTTGACCTGCTGATTTAATGTAACCTACTGTGATGTACATGGACAGGTTCAAAAATAATATTTACAAATGGCTCGCAGGACCCTTGGCGTCATGCTTCCAAACAAACCTCATCCCCTGACTGTGAGTTGCCATTTACATTTTGTCAATTTAATCAACAACATTCTTTATCCTTGCCATCTCTGTGGCAATACGTCAAAACTAAATTTCTCTAGAATCCCACATGGATTGTTTTTTTATGGCTATCTAGTGACAAATGAATGGCTCATTTCCAATCAAAGTTAGACTAAGTAATGTGTAATTTCCCATGCTCAGTTGCTCGAATGTTAGCTGCATGATCTTGGGTTAATGGTTCAAGTGGGATCTGGTAGTACCCTTAAGATTGTTTACCTGAAAAGAGGGTAAAAGAAGAGTTCCAAATCATGTGATACGATCATAAAATATATAATGTTCTACCTTGGACATGCAATGCAATACTGTTATTATTCGTTTGAATGCTGCCTAATTGCTATTAAACTTTTCAGTGCCTTCCTACACTATCACGTGTTATAATTGTGGTCACTGTACTGATTTACGAGGATGTCCTCAAGCTCCTTTGGTCCTTGAAGGTATGCGCAACATTTCCACTCCAATTTATTTTGCATACTAAAATGCCGCCAATTTAGAACCTGTTATTTAGGAGTTAGCTTTGTGTTATCAACATCACAGTGATTCCTTACCCCATGCTTTCAACAAACATATCTCACGGTTATAAAAGTAAAGGAAAATTATCATAATCGAAAGGAATGATGCAAGCAAATTATGTGATCGATGTGAAGTCATTGCCATGCTACACACAACTGTGAATGTTGCTAGTTACATGCATATGTGATAGTGCTGTATCAACCAACATTCTGACTCGGAATTTTGTTTTCAGGTAATGAAAAGAACTGCACCTCTCCTGATGCAGTTCACAAAGTAAGGCAAAAGATTGTTGAACAAATGGACTTGTGGTTATCTGAGTGCCAAGACACTGGCAAGTTTTTCATATGATTATCTACATACGAGTTGCATGATGTACGATAACTTAGCATTATTTCTGGTATTTCTCCCTTTTGAGAGATATTTATGACACTATGAAATAAATTAGTTTTGTTGATCAACTTTGTATACTGGATACACTGTCCAAATATAAGACAAAACATGTGTGTACATAGATGACATTTCTCAAGATATTTTTCTATCTGGTTAGTTATAGCACGTTAATCTCATTGCCAACTAACTGTGCCACTCCTTCCATTTTATTGATTATAAATCTTTGGCTGTTTGTTGCATTTCGTAGAATCTCACACCAAGGACATGTAGATTAACTACCAATTTAGTTTTTTTAGTTTTGTTGTCTAATTACTACATGTTTCGTTGAAACCAAACCCACGTACGTGATATGACCATGTTGGCACGTAGAAAAAAATCAATTTTGGAGTGAGTAATAATTGATTTTGAACTTGGTGAAAGTTTTACTGTCTTTTGGCATGACAATAATTAATTTTTAGTTACTCATTAAGTGTATATTTGAAAACACATTAGAAAGCTGTAAACGGAGATCCAAAGTAGAAGCTAGAAGTAGTAACATTGAAGTAAACATGCATTCACTTGCATCCTAACGTGAAACCTAACATGGTATAAGCGCATGTACTTTTAATCCCCTAAAAGTGCCATAATACTTCGTCTGGTACACTTTTAGAATGTTTGGCTTTATGTATACATGAAATTCACGTTTATTTTAGAGATACTAATAACTTTTATATTAGATCCATGGTTATGAGCTTTTTAAAAAATCTTTAACTTCTTTGGCCTCCCCATCTTGTAAATTCAAGGTGAACAACTAAGGGTTTTGTACAGGCATTCGTTTGGTTTTGTCTTAGAGAGGAAAAGAAATTTAACTAATTTCGTTTGGTTTAGATTGGAAAATCTATATAAAAAAAAACTTAATAATATCCTTAAAACTTAAAATATCAATTAGAGAATATTTTTGCTAAGGAGGAAAAAAGTTCTCAAATCTTAAAAAGAATGCATGTCTATGTTAATAAATAGTAATATAGGAATAAGTTTGAGTGGATTCGATTTTTGCAGATATGAAGCTGAAAACTAAAACACTACAAATTTGTTTAGATGGAAAGAAAGAACAAAGAAAGAGAAGGAAATGACGGAATATAAAAAAGGGAAAGGAATAATTTCTTTTTTTGTGAGCCCCACCACAAAAAAAAAAAAAGAAGTTCCCTTCATTTTTAAATAAAATGAATAGTAAAGAAAGGGGACAGAGAAGAGATGGGAGAGAGGATTTTTTTTAATAATTTTAAAAAAATTTAAAAAAATTGCTAACAAAAATATTATAATTATATTTTGTTAGGTTAATTTTAATTTTTTTTAAATAGCTTTAATATATTCAATTATTTTTTTACTCTCTTTTCTATTCATTCATAAGTGAGAAAATTTTTATTATTTTCTTTCATCTTATTTCAACTTATTTAAATATCAAATAATTTTTACTCTATTTCTCATCTTTCTATTTTTTTTTTCTTTTATCACTATTTTACCTCACATTTAATCAAAATCTAAAGATCAAGCTTAATTAATTTTAGGTTAGACCTGATGATGTAAATTAAAGCTAAATTAATTTATAAGGTTGACACACTCTAATAAACACTTTTATCAACAAGCATGTCAACCCTTACATGATCCACCATAGCATTTTGAAGGACTATTTTGCATATCAATTAGCACTAGTAATACCAACAATGTAATTACTTGAATATATTTGAAGTGTGGTTCATTGCAACTACGTTCTTGGTGGCTTTCATTGTGGCTTTGTCTGCCACACACTATTAAAAAATTCTCAAGAACACTTCACGTGATATTATGTACATAAACTTCAGATGATAATTGTATTTTTTTTTTTTTAGAAAAATATTAACTCAAGTTTTAAGATTGAGTTTAAGCAACTAATAATAGTGAGATTCTATTGAAAAAAAAAAGTATTTATCACACTTTTATAATTTTAACATAATACGTATTTACTTAAACTTCAGTCTAAGGGAAAATGTTAATGAAATCTATTTTTTCTTACACAAAATTTAAATGTTGTATCATAAGTATTATTAGTGATGTGTTAGAATTGGAGTTGAGTGGAATATGATCAAGCCAAAAAAAAAAAAAAAACTCTTAACAATGTCTTTGAAATTGTTTAAAAGTTATCTGATAATCTTATATGCTCTCTCCTATTCTATGGAGTATTATTTATCCTTAATGAGTTTTTTCTTGTTTTGCCTTTGCCTCTTTAAACTTGGGCTTTTTTACTCCAATTTGTAAAAATTAAAAACAATTTATCAAAATAATTGAGAAGATCAATACTTCAAATGTAAAATGCTAATCCAAAATACGTCACTCATCCAGGGAATGGCATGTATGACACCAAGAGGAGTGTAGCCAATCTAAAATGCTCTACTACATGGAGATTGGACATGTGGCCATCATGCAGAGTTACCCATATTCAAAAATGTGCCAGTCCTATTGACCAGTGCTGTGTCAAATATGCAACTAGTCATCCCTTTCAATTATGTGCCACTCCTGCTATAGGAATTTACATGCAAGAATTTTCCTCAGAATCTAGTAAGTTTGCACACGATATTCAATTTGTGGAGCATTTGTGTCCATAAATCTTCCAATGAGGGTAAGTAGCACTGAAATGCAGAACCAGAGGAAGAGCAACTTAAAATACAATGAAATGAGCATTGCACCAGTACTTTTGTTGCCTCAGAAGAAAATCAAGTGCAACCTAGAGGAAAAATCATGCAGAAAACCAAGAAATTAATCTCCAGCCTTTTGAAGTTCCCTTAGAACGTGTAACAAACAGGTCAATCTAATTTGATTAAAGTTCAATTGGCTAGTTTGAATTGGGCAATTTTCTATCATTCTCTTCTGACCGTGGTTCTGCACTTCAACTAACGGAAATAGTTTCTAAGCAACCACAACTACTGGAACAAAAGCTTTACATATATATATATATATATATATATATATATATATATATATATATATATATATATATATATATATATATATATATCAGGCAATAAGGGATTCTTTCGCTGTCCTCCCAAACATACACTGATATATCCAACAACAATTCCCAAGAAAAGATAAAATTATCATTCCTATCATCAGCATTCCTCTGGAAGGTGATGACGTGAAACCCAAAGCTACAAATAATAGGAACAATGTCCATTCCAAGAATCTGAACCACAGGCAAGGGGAATGAGACGTGGCATTGGCACAGTAGGAGTGGTGAATAATTAAAAGGACATGTCGTATGTGTAAGTCATATCCATATTGAACAAATCACATTCAATTCTACGCCTAAAAAATACAGTATTTGCTCGTTCAAATATTAACCGACAATAGAAAACAACCGTTCATTCGACATAAATAGGTATATCATTTTTATTTTTATTTTTACTTTAAGGAATAATTTGACAACTAAATAAAGGTAAATCATAACATTATGTGAGCTTCCGATGCAAAAACTGGTCTTCTGCTGTAAAAACCTCTTCACCTTAGATAGGTCGATGAAACCCATAATAAAACGTATGTTATCAATGATGTGATCACTTCAAATGCCCTTGGTCCTTTAAGTACAGTAATAGGAGGAATTACAGACACCATCAGGAAGGTTCCCAACAACCACGAAAAAATAAATGCTCCAACCCTGCATGAAAGCACCAATTTATATAAGGGAAACAGGAAAAGAAAAAGCACAAATCCATCAAGTTCTAAAGAGGAGACATTGATATTAACATCCGAAGGTGATAAAATGGGAATATGTTGCCTCTAAATGAAAAATACCGAAGATTGTTTAACACAATTGTCAAGTGAAGTTTATTCTTAACATATTTAAAATAACTAGACACATCACTGTTTAAGTACCCATAAAGCAAAGCTCGTATCTTGCTCTTCAGCCGGTCGTGTATAAAATACAGTGTAGCGATCAGAGATAGTGCTACCTGAACAGTCGGTCCTTCCTCAGTTGGAAAGACGACTGTCAGAACTCCAAGTAACAAGAATACCAGTGACGTTTTTATAATGAATTTTGTTGATGGAGTAGAAAACCTGCCCCTGACAGCCTGAACAAATCGGGATTGATTCACTTCCCTCATTTTTTTCTTAATGTCAATTTTTGGGTTCCTCCGCTCATTGAACTTTTGCATGACTATTTTGTCATGCGCTGATTCAATTGCATCTATGCTTGGCTTGTGTCCTGCATATTTTTGAATCAGGAAGTTCCTAGCTCCTTGAATTTCATCTTCAGAAGCTTCTCTGCTAATTCCAAGTCGTTTATATGGGTCCCTCACATTAATTCTTGGAAAAACAGCTGCATTTGCAAAAAAAGAGAAGCAAGAAGATCAGTTAAGCAATAATATATTTATTACTCCCTGTGTCTTTTTATCTGTTGGCTTTTGAAAGAAAACTTTGTTTCTGATGATTTGTCAATTTAGAAGTTCAACACAATATTAATTACTATATTTTCAATTACGCCCTTATCTCTACCTAATTCTTAATTACTTGACATGTGTATCATAAATGAGAGAGAAATAATAGTGGAGGTTATATACAGAAGTTAAAAAATAATGTTAAAATAAACAATGGTATTATTACATTCCTTAATCTATGTGTTATCATCCTAAGTGAACAGACAAAAAGAAATGGATATAATATTGATTTTACACAAGAGCTTGAAGTATCATAGTTATAAGGTGGAAAATAATAGAGGTATTAATCAGTCTGAATGCATAAAAAAGGAATCTACCAAGACATGCAAGTAACATTCTTCAACAAAGAGAAAAGATGGGCAGGAAAGAAGGGAAATCGTCACTCTGGGAAAACATCAAGGCATAATCTATCACCCATACAGAAGTTAATAAACTTAAAAGGGAAAAAAAAACAGTTTTGTACCCTAAAAACAAGGTCCTCCTTAATCTGCAACAGTCATTCCCCTCCCCCCCCCCCCAGCTTCTAAGGTATCACTCTACTGAGTCTACTCTTATCATATTATAGCCTAGCTTCACGGAAACACCAACAGATATGATTAGTGTGCTTAAATAATTCTGAAAGGGATGATATGAGTCTATGACTTCAAATCAATAAACCAATGAACAAAAGCACAAGAAAATTCCTAGTCAAGCATCCAGGAGTGGACCAAACACCCATGATGATCACTTTGTCATTTTCAAGTTTAGTTTTCATTTACTAATCTATTGCTTCAGGAAAAAGCAGCATCTAAGTAACACACCAGTTTTACATGATCACTGCCCAAGCACTGAAATTTTCTGTATCATGAAACATAAAAATTGAGATTCTTGAAAGAAAAGTTACCTGAAGAATCATTTGCCATATCACCATATGAAGCATCCATGGCACTTTTGACCAATTGAACTTGTCGTCTATTGCATTTTAATATAGGAGACAAAAAACTTGTTCTGTAAAGTGAGAAAGTAAGGAAATAATGAATTATTTACCCATTCAGCATAGCAAGCACCTTACATCAAGTTCCAAGTTCAGGAGGTAATGATTAATAGGCATACCTTTCCACTTGGAAAAACTCAGGCCCTCGCCTACTTTTCCCAGCCACAGCAAAGGCCATAGCATGGACATGGTGTGATCCCAGGGGACTAAAAGGTAGCCGGGGACATCTTGAGGGACAACCACACAACCCAGACACAGTCATTGTTACTAAATTCCTATGGCAATATGACCTACCTGTTTATGCTTTGTGAGAATCTAGATCACAACTTGACACTTCAATGCCCAAAAAGAAAAGAGAACCAATCAACAATAATGGACAGAGTAGCATCAAACATAAAAAGACAAGTACAACATCATGCATTACAAACCAAATGTTATTATCATATACTTAATCCATTAACTCTTAAATTCCAAAAATCAGTCACTAAATTTGCCAAATTCTACACACAACCACTTCTCCTCTTACTTTTCTTGTCGGATAAGTAGATCCATCGTAATTCTCATTGACCAAAAACCTTTGTCAAGTTTCGCAATGCAACTCCAGCACTAGTAAGGTAACTGCATATCTAGTATTGAACCACAAAAAAGATAACATTATATACACCCCTGTTACTACCATACACCAACTAGTCATGGTAAGACGCAACCCAAGGTTTTAAATTGCAGTCCAACGCAGCGATTCTGGCAACAATATCATAGTTTTGGAAATCTACACAACCGCAATTTCAGCCGAAACCACAATTTAAAACCTTTATGCAAGTACAATCCACGTTCATTATAACAATAAGAATAGTTTATAAAAGGAGCAAAGGGCATCCACCTCAGGGACTGTGGAAAGAAACAGAGAACACGAAAACTGAAAAGTACAAAGTGTGGTGTGCACAATTGAAGCGTGAGAAAAGAAAATGACAGTTCCGACGCAATGGGGCACAAAATAGAAATCTGTATGAATTGTGCAAATAAATAAATAAATAAAACATTGCAGAGAAACTGTATTCTACAATAGAGGAGAATAAATAAAAGAAGAGCAGAGGGAATGAAATTAGTCACACAGAAAACTTTCGTAACATGAAAATATCAAAATAGTGTATTTGAATCGAGACGAGAAGTTGAGATGCAGCAATAGAGGTTAACGGTGAAAGGTGTACCTTAGCGTAAACGAGTTAAGGGGAAAAGGTTCAGAGGGTGTTTGGTTCTTTCATATTTGACATTTGAGAGAGGGTGTGAACGATACAACGGATAGCAACGCTGCCGAGCAAAGAGGGGCTTAGGGGGACACCAAAACCCTGCTCCACCCAATTTTATCCATAAAATAAAATTACTTTGTTAATTTGTTTTTATTATTTCTTACACGTGCTTCACTTTGGTTTCTCGATATTAATATTTTTTATTTTAATTTTTATGCATAATGAAATGTTTTGAGTTTTAAATTAAAACATTGTTATAATTTTGATAAATGATGATACCAATTTATAATTTTTTATATATAAAAAAATTAAAAAGCAAACTTTTTGTTGTATAAATTAAAATAAAAAGTAAGCCAAGTACAAGAATTAAAATTAAAATTTAGTTTCTTCTTTTTAATTTATAATGTCACATATAACACTCAAAATTAACCTTTTTATTTTTTAATAAGGAACTAAGAGTGTCATTAACAGTATTATTCATTCAAGTTGCTTAGATAATTAATTTATAATTTTTTATAGGACTACAATAATATCTATTTTTATAAATTAAACTTCAATCAATATTTCATTTAATGGTTTGTGGATTCTACTTCACATTGTAGTCTTTAGATCAAGGACTAGGGCTCATTTATTTAATTAGAAACTATTTGTTATAGAAAAAATGGTTGCTTTTGAAATGTGCCCAATAATGCAATTTTAGTGTTAAAATTATCTAAATAATGGTCAATTTTTCAAAAGAAAATGTTATGCAACCTGCATTAAAGTTGGTCTAAGTCACAAAACTAACATTGAACACCAATCAAGTATCATGAGAGTGAGCATAATTAAAGCATGCTAATCAAGTATGATGTTGGTTTTTCTAGAGTGTAAAAATTCACCTCTTTTACTTTAAAATTCATCAAATGAATGAAAAATAAAGGTAAGAGAATAGGATGACTCAACCATTAATTATTGGATAAATAATAAGACTTGAATCACTTTTAATATAAACCTAAGTATTAAACCCTATAATATAGAGATGAAATTGAATTGCATTAAAAAAATTGTATCATACATGAGGTTGCATTTTCTTATACACAAGGAAGGGTTGGATAATTTACATTCAATGCTAGTAACTAACTAATGAGAAACAACAGCAAATTGCTAACTAAATAACTTCTATGTAATTAACTTTCACTTTATGCTTGATACCCCTCCCCCTTTAAAGTTAGAAAGTATATATTAAGGATCCCAAATTTACAAATAAAGGAAGAAAATTGAGGCAAAGGAAGTGTTTTTTAAACAAGTCAGTTAGTTGATATTATGTCTTAACATGAATCAATTTGATGGCATTAGCAATAATAAGTTTTTGAATAAAATGATAATCAATATCAATGTATTTGGAAACTTCTTGATAGGATTTGATGCTAGATAAAATGGTTGATTAGTTGTTGTAGAAGATAACAATATTCAAAAAATAGAGTTAATTATTGAAGTAATTATATAGCCAAACAATTTCCCTAGCAGCAAAGGATAGGATTTGTATTATGCTTTTGTAGAAGACATAGGAGGTTGCTTCTTTAATTTCTAATAGATGAAGGCATTCTTAAGAAAAACACAAAATTCAATACTAGACTTTCTAGTGTTTAAGCAACTACCCAATCAGCATTTGAGTAGGCACTTAAGTGTAAGAAATTATTATTAGGAAAAAAAAGTCCTTGCTCATAACTTTTCATAAGATATTGCAGTAAATGGTAAACAGTTTGGACTGAGTAGTTTGAGAATTTTGCATATAATGACTCAAATTATGAATTATATAACTAACGTTGGGTTTAGAAATAGTTAAATATAAGAATCTTCCTACAAGTCTTTTATATAGAGAAAGATTTAGTAAAAGGTCACCATATGAGATTGGTGGTTTTAAATTATAATCCATAAGCATGTTACTTAGTTTGGAAGTCAAGTAACCTATTTCATCCAAAGTGCTAAATTGTACATTATTTGAGGCAAATAAATTTCTTTTTGTGGATCAAGTTATCTTTAACCCTACAAAATAATTTAAGTCACTTATCACCTTGATTTTAAATAACCTTTGCAATAATTATTGAACTTCAACAAATTTATGAAAATTAGGTTCTAACTCACTTTCAAAAGTTAGCTTATAAGAAGAAATTTGCTTAAGCCGATGTAGAACATTTTAACATACAACCTCATGCTTAGGACCGAACATTTGGTGCATGAAATTTGTAAGAGTGAACATATACACGTGGTCCAACATTAAAACTAAATAAGCTTTAATATCATGTTGAATGCAACAATATAAAGATGAAACTAAATTGAATTAAAAATTATATGCATCATACATGAAGTTACTTTTTCTTATGCACCACATAGAATTGAAAAGTTTACATTTAATGCTTGTAATTTACTAAAAATAAGAGCAAATTGTTAATAACTGAACAATATTCACTTAATTAACTTTCACTTTATGTGTAATACTAAGATAACTATATTTCAAGCAATATAAAACATAGATTACATACTCTATAGTTCTTTCATAACTACAAATGAGATGATAATTTTAAAAACAAAACCATTCATGGAAGTGCCAACAATGTCTTATAGCAAATTTTGATTTGAGCAAAGTGGAATGACAACTAGACTCAATAAGATAGAAACAAAGATTCAACAAAATTACTAGACCATTTAACTCTAAAACAAATAAAATTCTAAACAAAACTTTCTCTAAAAAAAGAAAACTTCATTCCTTTTCTTCCATATAAACCAAACTATATTACTAAACAATGTGAACCAAGGAGCTATCAAGAATTAGGCTAAATAAATTAGCATGGATCCAACAATTCTAATTAGGAGAGAAAAAAATTCTCATAAAATAAATTAATATTGGAAAGACATGGAAAAACTATTCCAAACAAGTCTTTATGACTAATTAAAGCATACAAAGCTATACATAAAAAGGAAAATACGAAAAACAAAAAAATTAAAGGAATTAGTCCTAAAAAATAATCTAATACACCCTTAATATTTTAAGATATAATAATTATACCATTGGATTTTTATATGTATTCTAACACTTCTTCTAAAGTCAAATCTCTCTTAATTATAGCTTGTTGTAACTGAATCTACTATAGAAGGACCATTAAATAATAATTATGTTTCTATAAAAATTATGAAAAATAAGACTTTTAAAACTTTTAAAATAAGCTTAATTTACTAAGAAGGATAAAATAAGTAATATTAATTTATTTAAATATATGTTTTTTTCTACAATTATGTTTAAATAATTTAATATTTTTCTAAAAATATTTATGAATCCCGTTTTCTCAAAAAGTTATAATTTAGTAAACTAATTTATAATAAGGAGAATAAAAAAATACATATCTTTAATTATATAAGTGTCTTAGTTATATAGTTGATATTTATTGAACTAATACTTATGAAAATATTATAATAAATTCTATTAACCATATTAATTCAGGTAGATGAATGCTCGTAACTTATTCCCTCATGTTTCATATTTCTATTATGATCTTGTTTATCTTAACTTAGTTTGGTTCAAATATTTGGTTTATTTTTCAAATAAACCATTTTCACTAAAAAACCAAACATCTTTCTCTGTCAATTGTTTGAATTGATACTCCAATAAGGATAAATATGATCATTATTTTTAAGTTTATGATTTATTTAGGCTTTGTTTAGAAGTTTGGAAAGGGAGGAAGGGGAAGGGTTTGAAAGGAGAACGAGAGAAAGGGAAGGGAGGGGGAAAGAGGTTAAACCTCTCCCTTATTTGAATGTTTAATATTGAGAAGGGAGGGTGATAGGGGGTTTAATTATATAAATAATTTTAAAATTAATATTTTTATTTTTAATTTTTTTAAAAAAATTATCACTTGAAAAACTAACATTTTTTTAAAAAAAAGCTAAAAAAAAATCTTATTTGTGAAATAGTATAAAAGAGTGGGAGAGAGAAAATCTTCAAAATGGAAGAACTCAAAAAACAAGCTTTATAAGAGTTTTGGAAGATTTAGAAAAATTCTCAAAATCTTTTCCTCATAATTAAGCAACTCCCAAACAAGATTAAACCTCTTCTAATCCCTTATCTTCTCTCTCCTTCCCTCTTAAACCTAACTCCCAAACAAAGCCTTAGGGTCTAATGGTGAACATTTTTCCATGTTTAGTTTCTTTAAAAAAAATTATCAAGCTCAAAGTAAAGTCCAAACCCAATTTTGAAATCTTGTAACTAAAATGCCCATGATGCCTTTTGTTTTCTCAACTAAGTGTTGAGAAGAAAAATTACATTCTTATTTTCTCTCTATTGCTATGCATCTTTTTGCAATTATCCTTTTATTTTCGGTTTACAAGAGTAAAGGAGCCCCCAAGACTTATTTTTCTTCCTCATTCTTGATTTAGTATCTAGAGAAGGGCCTTTCTCCCACTCATTCTTACATTGTTCAGTTTGAAGGCCAAAGACTCAAGCACTCAAACTTTGCTTTATCTCTCTTAGTTTCTCCACTCTCTCTCTTATCTCACGAGCTTTCCTTCTAACAAGCAACCAAACTCACTGAACGTCATTCTCTCTCAATCTCCCCCAATCCTCTTCTATAATCACAATCCTCTCTCTTGGTTTCAAGCAAGGGTTGCCTCCCTTACTCAAGGGAACTCACCAAAAACACTACCACCAATGGAGGAATTATTGCCATAGATTTGGGGCTGTTAGACATGTTTGAAGGTGCTCATAATGGTTCCCCACATGGATGGATTTGCACAAGCATGACAGGATCCTTCAATTTATCATGTTTTCCTTTTCAAAATTTTGGTTTCTCATGAATTACGACCACTATTTCCCTTGATTTCTAATTTGGGTTGACCACAAATAGAATTGTTTTAAAAAAATTGAAGTTTATATACTAGTTTATAATAAGTATATTCTTTCTATTTCATCAAATCATAATTGTTTGTCAGCATTTTAAAACTTTCATCTCTCTTCTTTATCCTTTATTGTACAAATATTTGATATTGTGTCCAGGACACGGGTGTATTCGAAGATTGTAGCAAGATTTCGTCAGCAGTGTTATTTTTAGAAACATAGTGGCGTCAACTAGATCATAGATTTCTACTCAAATGTAAAATCTCATATCCTCGTATAAGGTAATTAGAGAATTTGAATATGTAATTTTTATATTAAATTTTATTAAATAAATATGATACTAGTTAAAGATTTAACATATAACTTGTAAATTAACTTGACATATTTAATCATAAAAAAAATAAGATGTAAAGTAGTATAAAACACATTATGTCTTATTTAAATATTAAGTCAAATTGTAAAATTATAAAAGAAATTTTTTTAATAAGTTGCTTATAATTTAAAAGTGTGTTTAATTAGATTGTGAATATAATAAATGTAAGAGATTGATTGGCCTAAAAAAAATAAATATAAATAAGATAGAACTACGTAATAAAAAGTAACAGAGGCAGACATAACTCAATAAAGATAACAATTGTATATAGGATATAATAACAAAAATAATATTGAAAATAAACTAAAATTTTGTAAACAATTAATAAAAATAAAATTTATTTTCTTACTAATAAAAAACCACATAATAACAAAAACTAAAATTAAATGTTTTACACAAGAGTAAAGTTTCAGTGAAATGTCTTAAAAGATGGTATAATTCTAATATCATATTAAAAATAAAAACAAAATATTAGATAAAAGATTACAAAAATAAAATTTTTAAAATTAAATAAGTTTCACTTATTTAAAACTAAAAAAAGGACTATAAATATAAAATTTTATATATTCAACCTTATATTTTATTTTGTGTTTTAATAAGCTTGAATTATTACTTTGTTTTAAGTAAATGCTAATCTTTATTTAAGAGACATTGCTTAAAAATATTTAAAATAATTTTTTTTACCAGAAAGTGTAATAGTATACTTGTCACGTAAAATTTCATGCACTCGTACCATTATTTTTAATAAAAAATATTTATTAAATCTTTCAATATCATCTTAAAGTTATAAGTACATAAATCTCTTTATATTATTAATTTTTTAATCAATTAGAGTATTAATTAAAAATAATATAATGTTTTATTAAAAAATCTAAATAGTATCATATACATTATTAATGTTATTTTTAATTAGAGTTAAAATTTGCTTCACTAATGTGTATCAACTTTTAACTTATTTTTATTAAGTATATTATCGTGATAAAATTCCAACTTTGATTAAAGAATAATACTGAATCAAAATTTTGTTTATTAAAAAATAATATTAAAATAATAATAATATATATATTTTTCTTATAATTCGTTAATAACTTAATAAACATGTCCAAAAAGCCTTCTACAAAGCCTTGATATAATTTTATGCGGGTGACAGCGCTGGGCAGAGCCAACGGGGGAATGCACTTTTGTCCCAAATAGTAAACAGACTAAAATCTTAAAGCCCCGGGGGAACGCTACACCACGTCATCCATCTGCACTTCCAATGCAAACATATTAATTAAACCCGTTTAGCTTTCGCCCTTTCAAAGCACCACACACTCATCCCATCTCCACAAAATTTCAATTCCAATCTCCAAACGACGATTCTTCTCTCTGCGATTACCGTACCTAAGAAGAAGAAACGACAATCCATCTTCCAAGTCCTAGAACCGCACATGGCGGCACCGACGACGACGACCACAACGACAACGACGTTTATATCGCCGACGCAGAGGTACGCTGCAGGAGCATTGTTCGGCCTGGCTCTTCACGAGGCTCAGATTAACCAAACCCAACCGTTACCCTTACCCGTTTCGGAAGACTCACTCTCCAATGAACGAACCAGTAGTAGCTCCAGCAGCAGCGATTCAGTTTCCGAAGACCCGGATCTTTGGGTCAACAGCAATTCGGGTTTGCTCCGACCCGTTTTTAAGTACGTGTTACTACTACTATAATCCTCCTTTTCTAATTTGCTATTTCGGATCTCCGAATCTGAAACAAATCTAAACAGGTTTCTAGATATTGATTCTGCTGCGTGGCTTGGACTAGAGGAAACCGCTGGTTCTTCTTCAGCAACGCATCATGTGGGACCAGTACGTTTCACTAATTGTTCCTCACTCGCGCAGAAATTACGTATTAAATGATTTGGTTTGTGCAAATACATTACTAAACGACGATAATGTGTGTGAATTTTTCAGTTCCTAAGGTTACTTTCACAAGAATGTGACGATGGTTCTTCTTCTCAAAGGTTAGATCAAGAACTTGCATTGTCAGGAGCGGTTGACGCTATAGTACATAGCATGGAACAAAACTCGGAGTCTTCTGAGTCTAAAAGAGTGAAGCTTCACGAATATGAACATAAGTGTCGCGAAAAAATTTCGGGTGCTGGTGTTGAACCTCATTGTGAAAAGGCGGATGCGCATTTGGAGGTTCAAGAGGAGACGGATACTGCTTCTTTACTTGATTGCAAAGAGCCGCAGCAGGAATCTGTTGATTGTAAAATTGATGAGAGACCGATTGAGGAAGTGATGATGCTGAGTGATCAGAGGAAGGTGACGGTTCTTTATGAAATTCTATCTGCTTGTCTGTCGGATTTGGGCGGAGATAACGAGAAGTCTACGCGGAGGAGGAAGGGCTATGATGCCCGACATCGTGTGGCTCTGCGGTTGCTAGCTACTTGGCTTGATGTCAAGTGGATAAAAATGGTTTGTTTGATGATTTTTTCAATGTTTTATGTGATTGACTGATTCGTAAACAACTTGTTGCATGTTGGAGGTCATGAGATATGAGTGCCGTGGTTTCTGAATGTGTATGTTCATTATGCTGGATTAGCAAGAACTATGAAGAGGATTCTTTATCGTTGTGAACATTACCTCTAGGTTCACCTTGATTTCTAAGCTATTCGCATTAGTTGAACCGGATTGTATTTGTTTTTTTAGGTTGTAAGCTATGCTTTATGTTGTCAGTTGTTAAAATTTCTCATATTTACTGGTCTGGTATCTTCTAAGGATGAAGATGAATATTGGCATTGTAGGAGGCCATTGAGACCATGGTTGCTTGTTCTGCAATGGCTTTTATTAAAGGGCAAGAATCCAAGAAAGAAGACTCTCAATCAAAAGAAAGCAAGTGGGCTAAATTTAAGCGTGGTGGTATAATTGGCGCTGCTGCAATAACTGGGGGAACCTTGTTGGCCATTACTGGTGGTATGAAACCTTTTTATCTTTTCTAACTGTATGGTGGAATATAGAATTTCCATGTGAATAGTGGATATGACTGCTTTGATTTTAATCATTCAACAGGGTTAGCTGCACCAGCAATTGCTGCAGGTCTGAGTGCCTTGGCTCCAACTTTGGGTACTCTGATCCCTGTAATCGGAGCAAGTGGATTTGCTGCAGCTGCTGGTGCTGCAGGAACTGTTGCTGGTTCTGTTGCTGTAGCTGCATCATTTGGAGGTATATATTTGCCTATAATATATGTCATTGGATTCGCTAGAATTTTCTCATGCTGTGTTCCTATAGCTTCCCTTTCACTCTCATTTTTAAGTTTAATGTGTTGTTTAAGCCTCATGGTGTTTTTGTGTTGCATTACTATCAGACTACTAGAAAAAAGTTGTGATTAAATGGGTTATGAGGATGGTTTTATTTTTGTAGCATGTAATTGTCAATTAACATGGTGACAGTAATTCCTGTATTAGATAACTTCCAGTCAGACAGCAATACAGGTCCTTTAATTCATCTGTTGAGTGTCCAGAAGAGGATAACTTCCACCTAGACTGTAATACAGATGAAATAAGTTTGTGTATAGTTTTGGGAAGTAACTGACTGGAGGAGTAATGCAGGCCCACTAATATCTGATCAATCCTGAAGATAAGACATTTGATTTCTTTGCAGTACATGATGGTTTTTATGTTTTTATTGTGATAAAAGTAGCATCTGTAGAACAGTGTGCTCCTTGATTTTGCTATTGTTTCTGCATTTTTATATCAGTTGTGTTGAATTGAAATTATGAGATTTTAGTTACTGGGGGAGATAATAAGGAGAGATGAGATTTTGTATAATATTCTATTATGTAATGAAATGTATTACATTGTGTATAAAAACGTAGAGCACTAACCCTTATTTATACTGATCATAATCCCAGCTAATTTGGGAATTGAATCATGAGCTAAGGAAATATGGAACTTATCCTAAGGGATAAATAGTGGGAAATAGGGAAACTAATCTTGAAGGATAATTTAAGTTACTCCCAAGATATGATAAGATATTTTCTTATATTCTAACAAGTTTTATTCCTTTTCATAAATGATGAAAAATTTTATGTATCTCATTGTTCTACTTCTGCCAGCTGCTGGAGCTGGACTTACAGGAAGCAAAATGGCTAGGAGAGTCGGGGGTGTGGATGAGTTTGAATTCAAAGCTATAGGACAAAACCATAACCAAGGCGTAGGTTTTTTTAGTATCTTTCACATTCCTGTTCTCTCGTGACACTGCTTAGTGATCTGTGTTTCTGTGTGCACATTTGTGAACTTTGTCTCAGCTTTCTTGTAGTATCAAACAATACTTCTGCACTTGGTTTATTGTTTCAAATTTTATTCTTGTTGAACTTCTGCTTGCAGAGGCTAGGGGTTGAGATCTTGGTCTCTGGATTTGTCTTTGAGAAGGAAGATTTTGTAAGGCCATGGGAAGGACAGAATGACAACTTGGAGAGGTACGACAGTGAATATTTCCCTTCAATACAGGAATCATTTTTCAGTGAAAGTGGGTTCAGCTTGGAATGCTTGATGTTGATGCAACATGTTGATAGAAAATTACACTATTACATTGAAATCACCTTGCATTTTAGTTCATTTTGTCTTAATTTAGAAACTGTAATGTTATTATTCTTATGATTGATGATATTGATCCTGCCAAAAGTTAGGTATGCACTGCAGTGGGAATCCAAGAATCTGATTGCTGTGAGCACTGCAATTCAAGATTGGCTTACTTCAAGTAATTGGTTTAGGCTTTAGGGTGCTGATTTATTAGTATGTAAGTAAAGTTGTGTATGATGTTAATATTGCTGACTTGCACTAGGACTTGCAATGGAGCTGATGAAGCGAGGGGCAATGATGACCGTTTTAAGTGCACTTGTAACTGCTTTGGCTTGGCCAGCTGCATTACTTGCAGCAACTGATTTCATAGACAGTAAATGGACAATTGCTATTAACAGGTTAACTTTGTCTCTTGATTCTGGGTAGAATAGAACATTTGCTTGGTTGTGGGAAAAATCTTCTGCTTGCTTTTGTTATTTCATATCATGGATGCCATTCCAGGCATTACTTAAAATCTTTTGCTTTTGTCCACCAAATGGGCCCTTAATCTATTTTAGATTGTCAAAAGATTACTAAGAAAACCTAAGTTGTCAATGATGCCTTAGGCTGGATATCTATTTCTAACTTATATTGATCATTATTATTATTGTTTTCTTTTTCCATTCCTACAGTAATAGATTTCTGCTCTTTACTTTTTTCACCTGTAAGGATAGTAAAATTTATTATTTGTGGATTACATAGTTGTTAGATGATCTTGTTCAAGTTTAGTTTGATTATGCTGTTATTGTTAGTTGTAAAAGTTAATTCTAGAAGTATTGATTTAATTGATTATTGATATTCAAGAGAAGTAATGTACAAAGCTGATGCAAGCACTATATTTGAGTAAATGAAAAACATAAAGAAAAATGACAATAAGATTGGAACATAGGGACCGTCAGGCTAAAGTTTTAAAGAAAGTTGGCAGATAGAGCAGGAGTATTGGCAGCATTAACAGGGCTTTAAGCTTTCAACTTTCATAACTGACAGGTTCATTTTATAATATCCACAGACATATAGTTACATCTAGGACTGGGACAATAAGATGATGTTTAAGTGCTATGTGTGATGAGATGACGATGACAAAAACTATTGTTAGATCGTGAAGCAAGCCTGTCAGTGTAAAAGGAGATATCTAATAGATATTTAAGTCAGTTCAGTTACTATCCACGAAATAAAATAGATCCATTAAGTTCAACCTGCTAAATTTAAATTATTTTCATTATTGAATGGGTTGGATTGGATAAATACATGGATGGAGACAAAGGACAGTGGATTAGTCAATTATTTTGCCACTCATAATCTTTTTGGTAAGATCATGTGATTCATGAGGTGTCCTCGCATCCTTTGGGTAGCTTTGCCACCCACAATCTGACCTGTCAAAATGAAATTTCACATTTGCACATATCGTCTGGCTGAAATGCCATGATTTTGAGTCTGTTTGAAAACACGTTGGGTATTGAAACTTGGTTACACTCTTTTCAAGACACCCAGAATGGAGTTCTACCGAAGGAAAAAAAAAATCACTTCTATTGAACAGAGCTTATCAATGTGATTCCCAGCAGACCGGTTCTGGTCAAAACAATTTACTGATATCTGGGAGATATCAAGGTGGTTTGGCAGTTCAAAGAGTATCAGCTTGTGTTTTTCTCCCTTTTTGACAAATGGTGTGGTGAATATGATGGCTTCACCATCTCGATGAAAAACTTGTTTTGAGCAGTTTACATTCTTTCTTTATATTTAGGTCTACTTGACTTACCTGATTTTACCTTCATTTTCAGATCAGACAAAGCGGGTAAGTTGCTTGCTGAAGTACTAATAAAAGGATTGCAGGGAAATAGGTATTGACTAATTCTGGAGTTTCTTTAAGTCCAGCTCTTATTAAGTTATAGATAATGGCAGTAATATTGATCTATGAATTTAAGGCCTGTGACACTTATTGGCTACTCGCTTGGAGCAAGAGTTATTTTCAAGTGCCTACAGTGTTTGGCTAAAACAGAAAATAGCGGTAGGTATTTCCATATCCTCCTCTATTTTCGTTGTTCATCTTTGATGTGTCTAGATTATGATTCCATATTAGCCTTTTTTTTTTTCTGATCCCTTATCTTTTCAAGTGATGGGTGCATGTGTTTTCATGTCCATGGGGTACTCTTTCCATGTTTCTCCATGGAATGAGATTATCTTTCTCATTGCTTTAATGTTTGCCTGTTTATTGGCAGCCGAACTAGTTGAAAGAGTTGTACTTCTTGGAGCACCCATCCCAATCAAGGATGAGAACTGGGAAGCAGCTAGAAAGGTTTATGAGGGGATATGGTTTTTTTCTAGGTAGAACATTTTCACCTGTTGTATGAGAATATTTCTGTTCTGACATCCTGGTATTCTGTAGATGGTAGCAGGAAGATTTGTAAATGCTTATTCTAGGAATGACTGGATGCTTGGAGTTGCCTTCCGTGCCAGGTACATTAAAATGTAGTGGTAAAAATTCTGCAAAATTGTAGGTAACATTTGGACCGATTAATGCTTGCAAAGGTTCACTTAAAAAAAAATGAATAGCATGGAGCTATATGTCTCTATGGATGTTCGCACTTCACACTACATAATCTATGGATCAATTTTTTGGTATGTATTTTTATACATATGCAGAGGACAGAGTTCCTTGCGTTCATAGACTTACATCTCTTTCGTGTGGTGGTTGTGAATTTTCACATTACACACTTTTCTCATGTGTGAGCAGTTGTCTCACCTAACTTTCCTTTATAACTGTATGTTATTTGCACAACTAATATTTAATACATTATAATATCATCTATAGTTGTTTCTATATCTCATTTTTTATTTTTCCTTTATTCACACATATCAAGAATACATCCTAAAAGTAAGGGGGGCAATTTAATTGTCTCTAAAATTTGTACAAAACTTTCTGCTCCCTGTGATATTTAGAGAAAGGATAGGAGAAAGGTATGTTAAGACTTTGTTTGAGAGTTTTTGGGTGGAAAGGGAGGGAAGGGGAAGATTTATGGATATGATAATCCTTGTTTAAGAATTTTTAGAGGAGAGATATGTTTTATAAACCTTTCAAAACTTATGTTTTTAAGTTCACCTAATTTTGAGGGTTTTTTTATTAACCTTTCTTCTTTCTTTCTTTTTTCCTAGTTTACCTTTCAAATTCTTTCCTTCTCTCTCCCTCAATACTTCCAAACAACGCTTAAAAGTCTCGTTGTATGTATGTTTGCTACTTGTTGTATGTATGTTTGGGTAATTTTTAGTTATTATTTAATATTTTATCATTTTTTAGCAAATTGTAAAAATGATTTAATTTTAAAAGAATAAATTTTAATAGGCAGAAGGTAGAAATTATTACTTGTCATTCTCTTTTTTATTTGAGCAGTTTACTTACGAAAGGATTAGCTGGAATCCAACCAATTGACATTCCTGGGATCCAAAATGTAAGATGTTTCTTCATCCTCTTGCTAACGTAACTAATTTGCCAAGCTTCAATCTTACCTTCAATAAGCCGGAATGCTTTTATTCATAAATTTTGAATATTTATATTTAGCAAAACATTTTTCTTTTTGCTTGCAGGTCGATGTGACAGATCACATTGAAGGCCATTCGTCTTATCTATGGGCTACCCAAAAGATCTTAGATCAGCTTCAATTGGATACGTCTTATCCTGTATATAACTACATTTCTTGCATACAGTGAAACCCCTCGTTTCAGCTGTGTTTCTCCCTTTACATTTCTTCTATCAGCTGTTGAGGAGTTGCAGCGAATGCCGGCCCTCAGTTGCTTTAAAGTCGGACACTAATTAGAAATCATGCTTGATACTAAGATTTTATTTATTGTTTTATTACTGTAAGGATGTATCAGTTTTTGGTTGTAGAAAAATGCTAACTATGTAGTTTATTTTATTTTATAAAATAAATTGATATATTTAGTGTTTGTTGGTATCTCCGTTGCATATGGAGTTCCCCCTACTTTGATTTTTTTTTCCCCTGCTTTCACATAGCTTAGTTTTCTAACAGAGAAACGTGTAGGAGAATTCGTGTAAACTTAGTATGACATCTTGAACATAAGTTTTTTTCAATTTATTTCAATAAGTCAGCATAGGTTTTTTTTTTTTTTTCCTACTTCATGAAATTTAATGGTCAAACTTATGGTATAAACTTTCATGTAAAAATAATTTATTAAATAGGTTTTAAATTAAGTTTCATTTTCAACCGCATCCTTAATCTAATCAGATTAAACAACACATTTGAATCTAGTTAAGGTTTGTCTGTTCAAACCAACTCACTTGATATAATTGAGTGTACAAATTTGATCTCTTATAATGCATTTTGATTTTTTTTATTCATTTATCCTCTCTTCCTCTCCCCATTGTAAGGTTTTGGATAAAAATAAATTAGCTAAATTTTGCATTATTTTTTATATGCTATGGGTTTCATTAATGTGTTATAATTGCTTTGAAAAACGGTTTCTTTTTGTCATACAAATAAAAATCATACTTTTTTTACAGCTCTTAGATAAGGAGAATATTCAAAAGTTCATAATTGTTCTTTGGAGGATTAATTTATAATATAAATATGATAAAATTAGTGTTTTCATTGTCTAATTTTAAGATAAATTTTGATTTGGTTCTCTAATTTTTTAATTATTTATTTTTTTCCTTTAAAAATATTTTTTTCTTATGTTTGTCATTTTTGTAAAGTCTATTTATTACATTAATTAACAAAATTATCTTAGATGACATTATGATACCGAAGTGACCTAAACACTTTAAGTAGTTCAACTTGTACTTTTTTATTAAAAAAAATGAACAAAAAGTTAAATTGTATTTTCTCCTTTATTATGATTTAGGGTTTCATATTGTGTTGTATTTCAAATAGAAAAACAAAAGGCAAAATTTTCACTTCCTTAGACTCCCAATCTTCAATGATAACGTATGCTCGTAGAAGTGTTGAACATTCATTTTATTATTGTGGTACAAAGAGTGTTTATTGCATAGAAACAACAATAAATATTGGAAGGAGTTTTTGAAATGTAGAAATTATGAGGTAATTTTGTAAGAATAAATAACTGTATTTTATTTTTGTGTTACTAATTCTTTTGAATATTTAAATCTTTACGAGAGTGAATAACATGCATTTTGATAGGCTTTTAAAAGTCTTCTTTGGATGCAAATAAGGTGCCTAACTCCAATTTGTAGTCAAAACATCTTTGATGGCATTTGAAATAAATCAAATTTGTTTCTATCTTCCTCCTCATTGAATCATACATCGGTCTTCAATCCTTTACTAATATATACTTTCCATCAAAATCAAAGACATTCTTACTTGCAGCAAATGTTCTTGAATTAGCAGAACTTGACTAACCTCAAACTAGAATCAACTTCAAATTTTTCATTAGAACTAAAATCAATATGAAAGCGAATAAGGGTTGTTTTCCTTTTTTTTCTTACTTATTTCATTTCTTTTGCTTGTTTTTTCCTTTATTTTTTCTTTTTACTGAATTTTTTCTTATTCTTATTGCCATCAACATTTATTGGTTGGTCTTTATCTCTCAGTGCCACTTCAATCTCAATCTCATCATTCACTTCAATATTTTTCCTCACCTAGTTTTGCTTCAACATTCATCTCATCAACTTGCACTTCACCAACATTCATAGGATGTTCTATTAACGTAACTTTATTAAATATCTTAGTTTGTGAATTGTATGTACTACATACAGCTCTACTTTTCTATAATACTTGAACATTTTAATCATTTCTATAGTATATTTATTATCTTTTACTTCTTTCCATCTAACATCTAGACCTTTTTCACTTATTTTATACCACATACTATTAACTATATCATATTTCAATTCACGTAACATATCCAAATATTCGAAATAACTTCATAAATTTTCTTCACAGTACATTTATATATCTTACCCCTAATGTACTTGGTATTTTATGATTTTTTAAAATTACCTTTATAGTGAACTTTTATACAAAATTTGTTTATTCTTATGACGAAAAAAAGTTAATAACAAAATAAACTTAAATTTCAAAAAGATAAAATCTTTCAAATATTTAACAATGTTAGATAAGTCTAAGATTACAAAACTTACTCTCATGAGAAAATATTATACTCAAAACATACAATGAATTTTTTTTAGATATAAAAACATAACTTATAACTTTAATGTTTATTTCTACTTCAAATTTTTAGTCTTTCGTTACAAACTTTTATTTATCTCACCAAAAATTTTTGCTTTATTAATAAATTTTTTCTTTCAATCTTTCTCTCATATAGTAATAATTTTTTTCTCTTAATATTATCATGTGATGATAACCTTTCAGTTAAAAAGTTTTTGGTGAGATTTATTAACACTGCCAATGTTATTTTAAATGTGCATAATATGTTTTTGTTAGGTTATATAATAAAATAAAAAAATCAACAAAAGACAAAAATTAAACTTTGAAGATGAAAATAGTTAAAAAATATTAAAAAAACTAAATCAAAACCTGCAATAATGTTTGAGGATAAAAATATTCATTTTACTATAAATATTTACAAGGTGATCATAAGAAGAGAAAAGGGCGTACTAAAATAAGTGAGATAAAGGCAGCATGGATGGTCCAAAACTTGAACCAATGTAAAATTTGCCATTTGTCGTAAACCGTAGAGTTGTTGCACGGGAAGAAAGGGATCGTAAACAACGAAATTCGCACCCTCTTTCCATCCGAGTTCCCTCCCCAGCACTCTATTCGACTATATTGATTTGATGACTCATCTCATCAACAATACTGCCTAAGGACGTGCTGTGGCTGCTCTCTCAGCCTTCTACTCGGATTGGTTATTTCTTAAGGTAACCGTCCATTTCACACTTCCCCACACCAACCATTTCCCCCCTTTTTTATTTTAATAATATTTCTCTTTTTCATTATTCCCATCCCATTTGGTTACCCAAAAAAAAAAAAAAAAAACGAAAAAAGACACACGCATATGAGATTTCGGACAATCTGAGGTTTGTTCGTTTTGTAGTTGACTTTCTGCGCAGGTTTCAAGCCCGATCTTTGAAACAGTGCTACGATTTTAGTGAGAAATGGCCGCGGTTCGTAACCGGGTGTGGCAATTAACCCGATTAGCAGCTTTCGGGGCTTCGAAATCCAAAGTTTCGTATCCGTTGGAAAGAGCAATATACGATCCATTCCATGTTTGTGGCTCAAGACATTTTTCTCAATTGGTGAAATCCAGCGGAAAACGCTTGTTTCTTGTTGACACCTTGGCTCTTGTAATAATTTACCCTTCTTATTTGCTTTTTCCTTGTTTGGATTTCACTTTTATCGAGGAAGTTGTCTTATTCCATGCTTTAATTTAATGGTTTGATTTTTGGGATATAGGTTAGGAGACTCGAGGGGGAAGGTGTACCCTCAAAGCATGCTGAGGCAATAACTGCTGCTATAACTGAAGTTTTGAATGATAGTCTTGAAAATGTGTCTCAATCGTTAGTATCAAAAGGAGAAATGCAGAAAGTAAGATCCTTTAGGATGCTTAATTCATTTCTTTTTTTGTGATTCTGTGGATTTATGATTAGCATTTGTTTTGCCCCTTGTCAATTTTGTTAGTTTTAGGATAATACACAACTTGTACTGATAAGCTTTTTGGGTCAATTTTCTTATTAAGACTGAGATGATGCAAGAAGCCAACCTGTCCAAGTTTAAAGCCGAGGTGCAGAGCTCACAGGTATTCCTTAATTATGTAAATGTTATGTGTAAACTGTTAAGTTTGTGGTTTGTGGTTTTGGTGCATGTGGGTGTGTTAGAGTTAGCAAATATGATTTCGAAGAACTACAGTAATTCGAGATGAAATATACCTTTTACATTTACTTATTGACAAATAGTTTTTGGGAATATGTGCATCCTGCTTCTCGATTGTTAGGTGAATGCGAAGTGCCCTTTATTGATTTTGTTCTGGTATAGCAAGAATAATATAACACTGGTTCTCTGAAACTGAAAGTAACTAGAATAAAGTTATAAGTCTTAGGTGATTGCAGAGTTCCTTCACCATATTTCTCCATCTTTTTTGAAGCCGGCAGTTCTCTTTCTTTTCTTCCCTTTATTTCGACTCACAGCTTCTCATGTAGGTGATATTTTCAGTTGTCTATAGCATAATATATTTTGGTCCCTTTTGAAATCGGTTAGTCCATGATAAATGATTCATTATGAAACAATTCGGTTTAGGGATTTCGTAGAAACTTTTGTTATATTGATCTTACTTTTGATCTTTTGCTGTTGTCACATTTTTAGTTATATTTATTTTAATTTCTAACTTACTGCTGCATACAATCGTCCGGACATGTTCAAACTTCCTTGGGGAAACTTGCTAACATATTATGTTTGCAAAAGCAGATAGTGTGAAAAGCAAGGAAAGAAAGTAAATAGAAATTGTAATTAAGAGACAGAAAACAGATAATATACAAGTTATCTATGGTTTATTTGAATGGTTATTTCTGATCTTTAGACATTAGTTTATTAGACTGCATTCATTTAAGGTGAATTTATTAAATTGCTTTGTCTTGTTAACCCATACATTTGAAGATCTTTAAATCAAATGGGCTGTATGTTATCTTATTCATGTGTGTTTCTCACTATGGTAGGATGTCTTGGGAAATGATTGTAATCCTCCTCAAGGTTTATCTCGTTTAATCATGGGAAAACATAAGATTAATTAAGGGTTTCTGCTTTTACTTTTTGCTTTCACTTTTAAACCATAAAAATGTCACTTTGTTTTTTGTTTTCAAATATTTGTAAAGGAAACAGTTAAAGCAACTTCCAGAAATAGAAAACAAAGTTAAAGCAATCTGACATATTTGTAATTAAAAATGAAAACAAAACACATCCTAAACCAAATGTCCTTTAATTGGAAATGTCCAACACCTACTCCTTACTGATGATTCTTGTCAATGCTTAATAGATATGTGGAGAACATCTTTTGCGTATCCATTTGAAATCTTGTTTAGGAGAGTAATTCAAATGGTTGGATCCCAAATCATGTGATGGTAGCAAATGCATAGTATGTATGGTTGGTTTTGTTGCATTATATTAAGACATTTTTGCTCTGAGGGCATCTTTCTTACATTGGTAACTGTCATGTTTTTTTTCGCTGGTCAAATTTTCACTGTCTTTATTCATATATTTTATTTACTTTAATTTGTTTGCTATATTGATATTGATGAGCTTGGTTTTGTTTACCTGGTGCTGTAATATGCTGAAAAACTTATAATTCAGGGACATCATTTTTCTCTCTTACAACATGAGACTGAGAAGCTTAGGAATGATATAGAGAAGATGCGCAGTGAATTGAGGTATGCTTTATTAGTTTTAGCAGTTGGTCTTGATCAACTACTATTTTGTTTTGTCATGAATTTTATGGTGCAATCAAATGGCCTGTGAAACAGATATGAGATAGATAAAGTCACTGCTGGGCAACGATTAGATTTGAACCTTGAAAGGGGGTAAGAGTTAAAGAAAAAATATACTGATTGCAGATATTACAGAACTTTTATTAGATTGAAAATCCTTTTTTTCGCTGATGATTCACAACAAATGCAGGAGAATTAGGGAGGAACTGTCTAATCAGAGTGCTGAAACTAACAACCTGACAAACAAACTTGATAGAGTATGCAATTATATTTACTTGTTATTTTCATCCCATGTCAAAAATTTGCAATTTACAATTTTTTTGCTATAATTCATATTCAGGAGATCCATTCTTTAAGAGCACAACTAGAGGCAGCCAAATATGATGTGATAAAATACTGCATAGGAACACTTGTTTCAATCTCTGCTGTTGGCCTTGCTGTTTTACGGATCTTGATGTAAAAGGATTGTATTTCCAATTAACATCCACAAAAATGAGGTGGAAAAGAATCAAATATTAACTGCTTTGAAGATGTATGTTATGTGTAAGAAAACAATTGCATTACAATACTAGTGGAACCTTTTTCTTTTTTAACTTTTTTGTGGAGCTGAAGGAATTAGCTCCCATTAGGCACGAAATGGGCCTGTTTTTTAAGCCCCATTCTTTCTGTATTCTTTTGTTTATTTATTTGCCATGCCTTTTGGATATTTGGGCAATTTGTACGTGGCAGTATGGTATGAATACAAACACCTTGGATTATAATCACTCCACTCTTTTGCATGCTTAAGAAAAAGAATCTAAGTGCTAACATGAACGCTAAGCGGGTGATTATAAGAAAGTGCTATATTTAATTGCTTTATGCTTAATTCTACTTCATGCTGTTGTGCAATCGATTTTTAGGTATAGTAATACATAATGTTATCAACCAGTTTGGTTGTGTCTTCACTCCACAACGCCAATGAAGAAAAATGAGAATATTTTCTAAGAAATTGTTTAATTGCTAATAACTGTTCAGAGATTAACTGTTATTTTCAACTGCTTCAGTAATCATTTATTTTTCCTTAAGTCACGATCACATTTTTACTTTCTAGTCGATACACTAAAAGTTATCAACCGGTTTGGTTTCATGTGAATTTTGCTATCTAGCAAAAATGCATCAACTACCTTCTACTTATTCTAGTTCTCTTTATTTTGTTCATTTTGAACTTATCTATACTGATCTTTAGTGCCTTCCAACCACACCTAGTACTACTAAAGGTTGATATTACATTAGCTTTATTAGTTCGACTTTCTTAAAATTAAATCTCAAATTGTTACAATATTCCAACACTTCAAGTATGCATAAAAGTTAATTTTCTTCTACAATAAAAGTAATCCAATAAGATAATGGGTCTAAATATTTGGGTTATTTTTTTATTATGATTTTTCTTAATGAAATTACTAAAATATGGCATTTTTTTTACAAAATTGCCTAAGTATGATTTTCTAAAAAAATGCCAATGGCAATTTTATAGCGTACAAAAAAATAAAATTTTAAAAAGAGAAGTCACTGTTGGCAAGTTTTAGAGGGGAGAGGGGAAAGTATCAAATGACTAAAAATATTGCCATTGGCGATCTTTGAATGTTAGAAAAGCTTTTAACTTTTTAAAATTTGTCAATAGTGACCTTTGACTAATGAATTTTTTTTTAAAATATGTAATAAATCGGCATTGGGAATTTTTAATTGGTAAGACTATAAATACTGCAATCTTGATTCATAGAAACTTGCTCCTAAAATCATTTGAAGCACTTCTTAGAGATTGTCTTTGAATCTTGTGTTTATTAGAAGGAAAAATGAGTGTGACAGTTGTAATTTATTTTAATGGTGAGATTATAAAAAATACGAGTAAAGGTGTGACATTTGTATGCGAGAAGCTAACATGTGTATATATTCCATATAATGTATCATTTGAATATTTAAAGTATTGGCTTTGTCAATACGTTCATGAAGTTTCGTTTCTAAAAACATTAAAAAGTGTTATGCATCGATGTCTAGTGTTGATATTTAGCAGTTTCATACAATATCATACAATTCAAGTAACCAATGATGACGATGTTCAACAAATGTATTAGATACATCAACAACTTCATCCTCCAAGTGGTACGATTGAGTTGTCTGTTTTAAAAAATAATGAGGTTCAAGAAGAATTTGCAAGCACTATGCTAGAGACAGATTCAAAATGAGAACACAACAACAGTGAAAGTGATGACTATAACTTTGAAGGAGAATATCAAAGTGATGAGGAAAGCGATGAGGATTTTGATGATGATGTTGATGAAGATGAACCCCATGTGGGTGGACAACATCATTTTAAAGAGCCACCCTTTATGCATGAATTAGATTTTGATGTTATAATTGCTTCTGAGTTTCTAGAGTATGCAAACTTATGGTGAATTTATGTTGGAAGACAATTCAATGACAAAGAATGTAACATCCTCATTTTGTAATTTATTATTATTGCAATTAATACTAATTGTTTGTGCATGTTATTTGAAATTAGAAGTGTTTGATTGAGGTGAACTATAGGATATCTCGTTGTAGCGATAATGCTACTATCTCGCTGTAGCGAGAATGCTACTCTCTCGCTGTAGCAAGGAGCTCTCACTATAGCTAGAATGATAGACAGCAAAGGAAGATAACTTCTGGTTTTTTCGCTGTAGCGAGAAAGTCGCGAGTTTGAGAGATATTTAAGGAACTCTCGCCCTAAAATCTTCATTTTCAACCAAATCACATATCCCTCTCCATCCTCTTCATTCTTCCCTCTCCCTTCTTAGAGAAAACCTCCAATAACTCTAGATCTCCTTTAGATTTGAGCTCAAACATCCGTTCTTCTCAGATCTAAGTAAGTTTCTCGGAGTTCAGATCTCTATTTTATTCCTTTTCTTTGGTTCTCTTCTCATGATAAGATCTCTACCTCGAAATACTTAGGAAATCTTATCTTTTGGAAGATCTCTCCGTGGATACTGTGAAATCTCTCCATAGATCACTCAGAGAACTAATTTGGAGGAACCATTATCAGGTAAGGGGAGTATTTTCTAGCTGTAGTTATATGTATATATATATATATATATATATAATATATATATATATATATCTATATATCTAGTGGTTCTATGAGAAACATGGGCATCTCACTTAGAAAAGATCGGTAGATCTTGATAATATTATATGATAAATGGGTATTTTGACATAAAGAAAGATTTGGGTTTATTTAAACTGATAATATCAAATTTTTAAAAGAAAGATATGAGCTAGGACAACTTTAAGAAGTTTCAAAACTAAGTTTCTAAGGGTGTATATGAATTAAGTACTAAAAGATATACAATGATGAACTTTAAGTTAGAAGACTACATATATTGGTATTGTGCGAATTGAGCTGAGTCCGAAGGTGTCCGACCTTCGGTAGATTATACTGATTGTATGATGTGAGCTTGTGTGGTAGTATCTGTGATATGATTGATGTATTGCATTGGTGGTATGATGTGATATTGAGTGATAATTTGATATGTTGGACTGGTACGATGTAATAAGTATAGATGTGAAATGATGACTAAAATGTATGCAATATGAATAAAATGATTGAAATTGGAAGCGTATGGTATATGAATGAATGATGGAAATATGAATGAAATGTTGATTGGAAGTGAAAACATGTCATATATAAATGAGAAATGAGAATATGATGCGTGGTTATAATGCATAAGTTCACGTAATTTGAAACAGAGCGACTATAATATAAATTATAGCATGTTGAAGGATGTGTTATCATGTACATTGTAATCTATAAATTTTTATATAAATTGTGACTCATGAATCATGACATGCTGATTGATAAAAAGGAATGTGAAATGAGAAATGCTGAGAATGAGAAAGAGAATGAGTATAGATAGTGCAATGGTATACTAGGGGGTATAGAGTTAAGGAGAAGATTTGAAAAATTTTGAGGAAATGAGGATGGTGAATGTTAACAATGAAAAAGGTGCACAATAAATTATTGAAAATAAACATTCATAGGCCACACCCTTATCTCCCGACGCAGCTCCTGACTATACCTTTGCTAAAAGGAGCCGGAGCGACACACGTGTATCCGTGATGTTGCGGTTATCTAGCAGCTATCTATGCTAGAAGTCCTCAAGGGATCCCAGGGGCAATTATTATGATGAAAAGTGATATAAATAAGATGTGGTAAAGAATATGTATGATATAATATATGTGTCGTAGCAGATCAGTTCATGTTGTTATGGTACATATGTTGTAGTACATCGACGGGTGTTACTAGGACAGATGTATCATGACACATGAATTGAAATATATAATACATGTATAATAACATATAGGTCAGCATAGAAATGTGTGTATAATGAGTGAAATGTTATATGTGCTCGATGAATGATTGTACGACTACATGTATTTGAATGATAATGAATTAGAATAAAGTATTAGGCTACGACTCTAATTATTATTATTAGTTAAGATATACTAAAAGAGATTTAGTGGGCGGGAAATATTCACCCTTACTGATTACTTTCAGGTAATAAAAGATAAGAAATGGAGACAAATGATCCGTTCTAGGGTCATACTCATCAAGGAGTTGTAAGAAAGGAACTGCTCGGATATAATAAAGTTTTATGAAATAGATGTATAAATCTTTAATGTATTTTCATTCATTTTGAAAGAGAAATCTTGTGTTAAGAATATATTTGTATATTTCTAAAAAAATATTGTAAATTCGTCAAGTTTTCTAATTCATGTTCTCATACTGTATCATTTATACAAAGTATACAAATTTTGCTAATTATGTTTTAATAATATTAGTGTTAAATATAAATTAATTTCAATATGAAAGAGGGATGTTACAAAGAAGCTGTTATAAAAATAATGAAGTATTGTAGTATATCAAAAGGAGCAGACTACAAAGTGTTCAAGTTAGAACTAAATACTTTTTATTACAAATGTGTAATGTATGACTTAGATTGCAGGTGGCTTTTTTAAGCTAGTTTCAGGAAGAACGAGTATTTTTGAGAAATTCAAAAATATAACGATCGACACAATTGTACTATTGGAATCATTTATCAAGATTACAAAAAAGTTAGATACAGACACAATTGCAAAATATATAAAGTCAATAGTAGAATATGATCCTTCTTTTAAAATCAAACTAGTGATTGGAGAAATTCAGTTTCAATTTGGGTACACGATAAGTTATTAGAAAACGTGATTGGCAAAACAAAAGGCAATCAAAAAAGTATTTGGTCAGTGAAAAATCTCATTTGAAACTTTGTTGCAATAATGCGTAGCAATGTGTGATGTTGTTCGAAGTTCTATTGTGAAATTAGATGCTGTAAAAGCTTATCGCAATGATGAATTGGGTTCCAATGTTCAAATATTACGTTGAGTGTTTTGGAGTTTTGATCCTTGCATTAGAGCATTTCAACATTGCAAGCCACTTGTGCAAGTTCATAGGACATATTTATATGACAAATACAATGGGAGTTCTACTAGTGGCTGTTGCAAAAAATGGAAATCAGAATATACCGCCAATTGCATTTGCCATTGTTGAGGGTGAAATAGCAGATGCTTGGAGTTTTTTCCTTAAAAATTTATGAAAATACATTACTAAAGATAGCATTGGCATGATTTTTGATCGTCACAAGTCAATTATAGCATTAATAAGAAGAAACAATGGCCAAGGGGAACCTCTAAGAGCATTCCACATGTATTGT